CTTATATTTGTTTATGACATAAGGCTTTGGTTTAAGGTGACATTTGTTAGGCATGCAGATTCTTTGTTCCTCTTTTAAATTCGAGCGAGCGTGGAGCGATTTGACTGGAGCGGGAGGACATTTTAGTGGAGCGAGGAGTGGTGTTGAGCGGAGCGGCTTAGTGCGAATTAGAGCGGAGGAGCGGGCGGAGCCAACAGCCTCATGAGCGAGGAGCAGAAATTCTCACCGCTCCGCTCCGCTCACATGCTCTGATAGTGACGCATACAGTCAATGAAAAGCATGCTTCATGGTTACTTGACATGTTTGTTTTGTGGTAACATTATGCACTGCATGCATTGGGCTTTATTCTTACAGCAGAGAAGTAGTTCATTATTACTGTTTGTGAATTGGGACATTTCAACTTACTTTTTTAATTCCCATTTAAATTTAGTAGGAGTCGGAGTCGGTTAACTTTTTGCCGACTCCGACTCCAGGTACCCAAAATTGTCTCCGACTCCGACTCCTCGACTCCGACTCCACAGCCCTGCAGGAAGGGACCATCCCCAAACTGTTCCCACAAAGCTTGGCGCATGAAATTGCCCAAAGTGGTTTTGAATGCTGCAGCATCAAGAGTTCCTTTCACTGGAACTAAGGGGCCAAGCCTAACCCCTGAAAAGCAACACCACACCATAATCCCCCCTCCACCAAACTTTACACTTGGCACCATGCAGTCAGACAAGTACCGTTCTCTTGGCAACTGCCAAACCCAGACTCATCCATTGGATTGCCAGACAGAGAAGTGTGATTTGTCACTCCAGACAACACGTCTCTACTGCTCTAGAGTCCAGTGGCGGAATGCTTTACACTACTGCATCTGAGAGTTTGCATTACACTTGGTGATGTAAAGCTTGGATGCTGCTGCTCAGCTATAGAAACCCATTCTATGAAGTTCTCGTCGCACTGTTCTTGAGCTAATCTGAAGGCCACACAAAGTTTGGAGGTCTGTAGCTATTGACTCTGCAGACAGTTGGAAACTTCTACAAACTGTGTACCTCAGCATGCGTTGTCCCCGCTCTGTGATTTTACGTGGCCTACCACTTTGTGGCTGAGTTGCTGTTGTTCCAAATTGCTTCCACTTTGTTATAATACCACTAACAGTTGACCGTGGAATATTTAGTAGTGAAGAAATTTCATGAATGGAGGGGTGACATCCTATCACGGGATCACACTTGAATTCACTGAGCTCTTGAGAGTGACCCATTATTTCACAAATGTTTGTAGAAGTAGTCCGCATGCCTAGGTGATTGATCTTCAACACCTCTGTCTATGGAAGTGATTGGAACACCTGAATTCAATGATTGAGTGTCCCAATACTTTTGGCAATATAGTGTACTATAGCACCATGTTATTTTGTCACCATGCACAGTGTACTGAATATGGTTGGTGTAAAAATAAAGCCCCACTTGATCTTATTTAGTTTTAAACTTTATGCTTTTAAGAGTAATGTATGCAACGGTGTGCACCTCATCACATGTAGACTTCATATTTCAAACTACTCTTTCCACTACTGCCCCTTTCTTTATAGATCATTCACAGTGAAGGCAGTTACAGTTTCTTGCTCTGTGGCATGATCATTGGCTGCATTGGCTTCTTGCTGTTCTTTGGTCTACTCTTCTTTCATCGCATGCACAAGAAATACCTGGCAGGTATGCTACCCTACATATGCACACACTGTCCTGTGACATTTTAACCCACTGTTCCTATTTTGCAAATATTTTCATTTTACTTGCACAGTCTGGCTTGAGGAGGACTAGGCCTCAGAAAGGCAACTAGGTGTAGTAGAACTTAATTTTATGGCATCAGTCTAATACTGACCTGTTTAATAAAATACTATTAAAACACCACACAAGAAAATACACATTACCTGGTTCCTTTTTATGGTGAAGACTTATATGTTGTGTAACGACTAAAACAGTGTTGCTGTATGTACTGCGTTAAATCATATGGAATTACTGAAATGTCTTGCAGGAAACTCCAAAAAGGCACCCATGACTGAAGAGCCAGGGCTGGACTGTGTGCAACAGTGATATTCAAAGATGTAAACGATGGTGTAAAAGGGAGAGTAAAATTAATGGACTGTGTCCATTTATTTATGGGATGTCTACTGGTACAAGTTAGAAGAATGAAATCAAACAGTATGATATTCAGCTTCACTATCACTGTCCTAGTCCTGTTTCGACTGTACAGTGGGCTTATATATATATATATAATATAGCCAACATTTTTGTTAAATGCTCTTTACTTCCATTCTCTCTAGTCATCAGATAATTATTCTTAAAATTTAACATGTTCTCTTCAAAGATCAGAAAATTTATACTGAAAACTGATTCCATTTATATGCAATAAATATATGCTTTTCACAACATGCTCTTCTTCAAGACCATGTTCTTTCTTGAATGATGAATTGTAGATTTTTCATTTTCCAACATGGTCTCAATGAAGGAAAAAATATTCCAGTGTTAAGTAAACAAAATGACACAACTTGATCAGTTTTGCAGTGTTATGTACTGTTTCTTGTCTTGTGTGTCTGAATACCTGGAGTTTTGTCACTCTATAGTCGCATACACTTAAGTAATGAAATCATTAAGTTTTGGTCACAACACTGACCAGCCTTGCACTTCAGGATTTTGTCTGGTTCTGCATTTTACCGGAGAACAGAATTCCTGTAGAATCCTCTTTCGCATAATTACCTTCTGCTGGTTCATTTTCAAAGAGGACAAAGCATTTCTTATCCCTTTCCATCAAATGGGGGAAATGTTAAACTGTGATCTACCAGTTTAGAATTTATAATTGTATACATTTTCTACCAATCATCTGTGAATGATGAGAATAAAGACGATTCTTCACCACCTTGATCGTAAGTGTTAATTATTTAGAAAAAAATTTTTTTTTTTACATTTTATATAGTTTACTCTTCGTTGGTGATATCATTTTGCTTAGGGTAAACGCCTATGGTGTTTATTAGGG